AAAAGAAGCTTTCAAAACAAAATTCCTATAGAAGCTTCCATAAGAAACTTCCTCAAGATATTTCCTAAAGATGCTCCCAAAAGAAGCTTCCAAAAAAGCTTCCAAAAGATGCTTCCGAAAGAAGCTTCCAAAAGAAGCTTTCAAAAATGGGTCCAAAAGAAGGTTCCAAAAGAAGTTCAAAAGAAGCTTCCAAAAGAAACATCCATAAAAACCTTTACAAAGAAGCTTCCAGAAGAAGCTCCAAGAAAAAGCTTCCAAAAGATGCTTTCAGAAGAAGCTTCCAAAAGAAGTTTTCAAGACAAAGCTTCCAACAGAAGCTTCCAAAAGAAGCCTCCAAAAAATGCTCCCAAAAGAAGCATCCAAGAGATGCTTCGGAAAGAAGCTTCCAAAAGAAGCTTTGGAAGAAGCTTCCAAAAGAAGATTCCAAAAGAAGTTTTCAAAAGGAGCTTTCAATAGAAGCTTCAAAAAGAAGCATCCAAAAGAAGCTTTCAAAATGAGCTTTCAAAAGAAGCTTCCAAAAGAAGCATCCAAAATGAGCTTCCAAAAGAAGCTTCCGAAAGAAGTATTCAAAAGGAGCTTCCAATGGTTGGCAATCGATGTCCGTCGGTGATTGGCACTAGATTGCGGAACAGAGACCGACGTTAAATAAAGGAAAACAAAAGTTTTCAAAACAATGCTTCCAACAGAAGCTTCTAAAAGAAGCCTACAATGGATACTCCCAAAAGAAGCTTCCAAGAGATGCTTTCAAAAGAAGCTTCGAAAAGAAGCTTCCAAAAGAAGCTTCGAAAAGAAGCTTCCAAAAGAAGCCTCCAAAAGAAGTTTTCAAAAGGAGCTTCCAATAGAAACTTTCAAAAGAAGCTTCCAAAAGAAGCTTCCATAAGAAGCATCCAAAAGAAGCATAAAAAAAAAACTGTCTAAAGAAAATTTCAAAAGAAGATGCTTCCAAAAGAAGCTTCCAAAATAAGCATAAAAAGAAGTTTCCAAAAGAAGCTTCCAACAGAAACTTTCAAAATAAACATCCAAAAGACGCTTCCAAATGAAACTTCCATAAGAAGCATCCAGAAAAAAGGTTTCAAAAGATTCTTCCAGAAGAAGCTTTCAAGAGATGCTTCCAAAAGATGCTTCCAAAATAAGTATCCAAAAGAAGCCTCCAAAATAAGCATCCAAAAGAAGCTTCCAAAAGCTGCTTACAATATAAACTTCCAAAAGAAGCTTCAAATAGAAGCTTCCAAAAGAAGATTCCAAAATAAGCTTCTTAAAGCAGCTTCCAAAAGAATCTTCTAAAAGAAGCTTCCAAACGAGGCTTTCAAATCATGCTTAAAACATTTCTTGCAACAGAAGCTTCCAAAAGAAGCTTCTTAAAAAAAGCTTCCAAAAAAAGCTTCCCAAACAGCTTCCGAAAGAATCTCCCAAAATATGCTTCCTTAAAAAGCATCCAAAAGATGCTTTTAAAGAAGCTTCCAAAAGAAAGCGACGGAGTAGCCTAAGGCTGAAAATCTTTTTAATATACAAAAAAAAAAGCTTCAAAGGGAAGCTTCCAAGAGAAGTTTCCAAAAGATGCTTCCAAAAGATAAAGACGAACCAGCCTAAGGCTGAAAGTCTCTTTAATAAATAAACAAACAAAAAAGTTTCAAACAGAAGCTTCCAAAAAAAAAGCTTCCTAAATTGGCTCTTAAAAGATGCTTCGAAAAGAAGCATCCAAAAGAAGCATCAAAAAGAAGCATCCAAAAGAAGCTTCCACAAGAAACTTCATAAAGAAACTTCCAAAAGAAGCTTTCAGGAGATGCTTCCAAAATAAGCATCCAAAAGAAGTTTCCAAAAGAAGCTTCTAAAAGAAGCTTCCAACAGAAATTTCCTAAAGAAACTTCCAAAATACGCTTCCAAATGAAGCTTCCAAAAGAAGCATCCAAAAGAAGCTTCCAAAAGCAGCTTACAATAGAAACTTCCAAAAGAAACTTACAATAGAAGCTTCATAACGAAGATTCCAAAATAAGATTCTTAAAGCAGCTTCCAAACGAGGCTTCCAAAACATGCTTAAAAAGCTTCCAAAAGAAGCTTCTTAAAAAAAAGCTTCCCAAACAGAATTCCTCAAAATATGCTTCTTAAAAAGCATTTAAAAGCTACTTCTAAAGAAGCTTCCAAAAGTAAGCGACGGATTAGCCTAAGGCTAAAAATCTCTTTAATAAACAAAACAAAAAAAAAGCTTCAAAAGGAAGCTTCCAAGAGAAGATTCCAAAAGATGCTCCAGAAAGAAGCTTTCAAAAGATATAAACGAACCAGCCTAAGGCTGAAAGTCTCTTTAATAAATAAACAAACAAAAAAGTTTCAAACAGAAGCTTCAAAAAAAAAAAAACCTTCCCAAAGCGGCTCCCAAAAGATGCTTCGAAACGAAGCTTCCAAAAATTAGAGACGAACCAGCCTAAGGCTGAAAGTTGCTTTGATAATGAAACCGAAAGAGCTTCCAAAGCTTTAAAAAAAAAAACATCCAAAAGGTATTTCCAAAAGAGCTTCCAAAAAGATGCTTTCTAAAGGCTTCCAAAAGATGCTTCCGAAAAAAGCTTCCAAAAGATAGAGACGATACAACCTAAGGCTGAAAGTCTCTTCAATAAAAAACATAAATAAAAGCTTTCACAAAATGCTTCCAAAAGAAACTTTTGAAAGATGCTTTTAACAGAAGCTTCCATAAGATGGTTTCAAAAGAAGCTCCTAAAAGATGCTTACAAAAGAAGCTCTCAAAAAAGCTTTCGATCAAAGCTTAGAAAAACGAAGAAGCTTCACAAAGGAACTGTTTTAGAAGCTTGCCCGTTGTTCCGCTACTATATCTACAGAAAACACGGACAAGAAAGTAAATCTTAGTAGCTAAGCAGTAAAGGAACAATTTCCCAATGTTTATGGATAAAAGATTAAAAAAAATAGTGTCCAAAATATGAAAAAATATATGTCGAATTTATGGATTATACTAATATTTTTTTAAAGCGCATACTTGAATTTCTATGGTTCAATTGCGTTAGTTTTAAGGATCATTGTTGATCGTTTTATAGATCAATTACAATGTGTTTATAATTCATTCATGCAATTTCAATGCTCATTCTTTAGAAATTTTGCAAACAATTTTACAATTGTGTTGCAAATTTTTTCTTAAAATATGGATCTCTGGATGGATATCTTTTATGGAGCATTTCAACTTTATCATTTGGGTGTTTTTAAGGAACTTTTACAATTACTTACGGATCGTTGTTTAAATTCTACAGGTGTATACTTAGGGCTGCCCCTGGCTGTTCTTTAGACTCTGGACGAGCCGAGAACGTTCATCTTGGGAAGGTTCAGAGACACCTGTCTGAGGTCAGATCAGAAGATCCTTAGGGATCTAGCACTCTAAGAAAAGCTTTGTGTAGTTAGGTACACACTTAGAAATTATTACCGACTTCGGTAAGTTCTTTCCAAATTTGCTACAATACAAATGTACTACAATAGATCAAATTACTGGTCGCAGTGGTTTTATGTCCCGAACAGAGGAAAAAAAAAAAAAAAGTTCTTACCAAACTTTCAACAGCTGAACGTTCGGTAAAACTATGACTCTTATTAGAAAAGCAGTTTCACTAAATTTTAATTTTAAAACACTCTCAGCCCTGTTAACATATTGCGTGCTCTCAACTTAGTGTTCTAAATGCACTTCCACAGTTATTAATTGAGAGCTTTCGATGCCAATTACCAATGCATGAATGTGTATATTGTGTGGCAAGCACAATGATACTCTATGCCCAGGGAAGTCGAGAAAATTTCCAGCCCGAAAGATTCCCTCGACCGGACCGGGAATCGAACCCACCGCCTCCGGCTTGGTAATACCGTGCCTTTACTGACTAGGCTATGAGGCCCCGAAACAAAAACTAATGGATAACAATGCGGTAAAAATTACCGAAGTCGGTAATCGTTTCTAAGCGTGTAGGTTATAAAAATTTTCTATACATACATTCTTAATAGCCCCCAAGGAGCAATAAATGTAAGCTAGTTGTCAAACGAATGATGCATATGAAACAATTAAAATGAAGAGTAGGGTGGGTCAGGGTTGTATGGTGTACAACATTCCCTGTTCCCCACTGCTCTTCCGATGGGTATTGAGGTCCCCAACAACACTGTCAAATTTGAACGAATTTGGTTATGATCTGGATTTGCGAGAGAATTTTAAATTTTGTATGGGAAACGAAACGAACCTATTCATTTACTTGTCAAAAATTCAAATAATGCTAAAATTTCACCAAATCACGGGAGTAGATGGAGAATACTATGCAGAACAACTTTTTCCGAGACTGCAAATTGATTAGACTTCGGTAAAAAAAAGGTATTATTATATTTATTTCGACCTGTTCTTCCGCGCATACCTACAACAGGACATATGAGCTTGTAGGCACGTGTCAAACACTTGGTCAAAAGTGAAAGATTAGTAAGTTTTTGTAGATCAAATCGATTGCAGTCTTCGACAAAGTTTTTCTGTATAGTATTCTTATCAAAGTCTAGATAATATTTGGTAAAATTTGAGTAATTTTTAATTTTTGGAAGCTAATTAATAGGATTGTTCCGTATCCCATACAACATTCACTATTCTCCAGAAAATCTAGAGTATAACCAAATTTGTTTAAATTTGTCACAGTTGTTGGGAACCTCAATATGCATTGAAAGAGCAGTGGGAAACGAGGGATTGAAAAGTTGACTCACTCTAATGAAGAGCCCTTCAGGCTAAATCACTTCAAATGGTACACATTAATCAATAGAAATGTACACCATTTTACTACTGCTAAAATATTCTAATGATTTAAGTAAATCCTCACTGGTAAATTAAATCCATTGACTGGGACCATTTCTCGACAGAGATACTGAACGATCCTGATCTTCATCAGATTTCCGCTTTGCCGTAAATCCACCTTCGCTCCCATGCCGTCACAACCCAAGTCAAGCATATATGCTCTGCCTATATCCAATATCCTACATAGATCCATACTTACATGATTTTTTCGACTCACTGATGGGGTATTTGTTGAGGCTGGCAATCGTAGCGTAGGAGCCACTGTTCGCACTGGGTGGTCGCCCCAGGGGATCCAGACGGATGAAAACATTCTGATGGCTGCCATAAGCAGCAGTGGTAAAGCTGGTGCTGTTTGTTTTCCAAAGCGTTGGGCGTGGAGCGTCGATGCAGGGAGAAAAACAGAACAAAAGGAAAAGCAGTTTATTTTAAAGTGTTAAATCTGTTGGCTTTACAGTAGTACTGTTGTTGTGAATAACTTTATTAAGAACTTTTCGGTCGGCAGTGCCATATTGTGGGATGTCAGAGCTCGGAATGACAGTCGCCTGTGGATACGGATAAAAGTGATTATCTGATAGTTGGAATGTTGTGTTAGGTCTCTGTTTCGAAGTTGAACCCAAAAGCATTAGAAAATTAATGCGCATGCAAATAGAATCCATAAGTATGATGGTGAGACTTGATGGTGCCAGTGGGGCTAGAAGTAGGGACACTTTGTTGTTGGCTGCCTGGCAACATATGCTCGAACAAGTTTGTGATTTTAGATCAGATTGGCAATGTACTGTGGAGCCAAATGACTCAATTTTACAAGGCAAGGAGAAGGCTTAAAACTAGAGAATGGTGCAAATCATGCAAAAGTGATTGCAAATTGAATTAGCAATATCTTGAATTACTATGAAATTGAATATCGATTCTGATCATCAAAACTACTAACATAATTGATTTTTACTCTAACAAAGACCAAGATCCATCGTCCTAAAATTTAATTTCAGATAGTCCTGCAAAAACTTGTCAAGCTTCTTCTGAATAATCATGACCTGTACAGGGGGATCAAGCTTCCATCAATTACACGGTCAATGAAGAAAATGGATTTCTTCGAAACGCACGGAACCGCAAAATCAAATCACACTTGTTTTCTATTTTTCATCCATCCATCCATCCATCAGACAATCACTTTCAATTGTTCCGTTTGGCTTCCACTCGGTAACGATAACAATCTACCGACACCGGGAGAGAGAGGGAAAGGGAGATAGCCTCCCGACATGGGGTGATAAATTGTTGCATCTACCCGAGTCCCCCTGGTGGCACACCGTGTAAACATGTACGTAAAGTACCAGACCGTAGGAAACAGCTCAAGACAGCTAAGAAACAAGGCACAACAATGTTCCGGAGAATCATTACTCACTGTAGCGAGTCCTGGCGTATCTGCTTGCGGGCCCTCACGTACATCGCGCTGGCAATGAGCCCCACTACCAGGACCAATCCGAGGGCACAGGCCGCGGCACCGAGGAGGGCAGGTCCCTGTGGGGGTGCGATTTCCGCTGCCGGGAGCCGGTGTCGTGGCGGGAAGATGCCTAAATTAAAAGAAAGTATGTACATACAATGATCAGCATCAGCATCAGCAACAACAACAACAACAGCCGGATAAAGTTTCGGTGCGGGTGGAGCAGAGAGTGAAAATTAATGTTCAATTAGGAAACATCGCTGGGAGTCGAGCGTAACGCTGGAGCAAAGTTTAATTTGGTGGGTGAAACGTTGTCAGCGGGGGAGGTAATTCGAATTTTTTGAAGAGTGGTTCTTCTTTCCCGTTTTATTAACCACACGAACGCAAATTAATAAAACAAGAAACTGGAGAAAGCACTCGGCAATCCATCACGCGGTTGTCGGCGAATTTTTCCGTAAATTAAATAACGAGAAGCATTAACTGTTGCTCTTTGGGTGTCGTTTTCGGTTTGAGCCGATATCGTTCATCTCCGAAAGGCGGACTCATCGGCGTCGGCGTTCGCTTCGATAAACATTGTTGCGAGTTTCATCCGATCCGATGGAAAGAGGACTCGAGTGGCAAACAAAATTAATCGAATTCCAACTTGCTGATCTGCCAAACAATTTCCAGATGAATTCAATGGCGGCGTTGCAGAGGATATACATTTTCAGTGGAAGCGAAACGGTATGAAACCAACATGGTTTTAACAATGATGAGAATTGTATGAGCTAGTGGCATTTAATTAAAATCGTTTTCTGAAACTTTTTTGTTTTGTTTTACTAAGATTCCAAGATCATTTATTACAATTAATTGTAATAAAATATCACCGAATGTGCTTAAATTTTCAACAGCTGAGCATTTAGTAAAACATGATCCCTCCTTTTAAATTGAAAACTGCAAGGTAAAGTTCCCACTGATTTGGTGGCGCACTGGACAAATTTCTGAAAGGCATGGAAAAAGATACTTTAGGGGACCTTTCGGTTCACGCCAAAGCGGGAATAAGACCATACACGCATACATTTCGACGGTTGATTTCGTTGTTGAACCTCCGATTGGGTGATCGGTTACAGTTTGAGGGTTCTGACATCGGGTGGCTATGATGATCGTTATAGTTGCCATTCCAAGCCATCCTGGCCGACAACTACTACAATCACTACTGAACACCTGGATCCCTCTCTTCTTGAAGAAAGAGAAAGAACTACTGTGTCAGCCCTTGCTCAAGTGATCGAGACCAGTCCAGTCTTTGGTCTACGATATTCTTTGAACGATCTTCTCCGATTATAAGCTCTCATCCGAAGATACGTCCACAACTGCAAGAACCGTGAAGATCGTAGAGTAGGCTTGCGTCAGCTGCTAGCTCTTGCCCAACAGGAAAGTTTCCCCGAAGATCTCGCCGAGAATGGTGAAGTCAAGCCTACATCGAGAATTAACCAACTCACTCCACGCTTAGTAAGCGGATTAATCCAGGTTGGCGGCCGGCTCGCGAATCCTAGTATTTCGGCTGACTGAAAACATCCAATTATCATTGACAATCAACACCCGCTATCAAGTCTCATCGCTGTCGATTATCACCTGAATCATCTCCAAGCTGGACAACAATTACTGATCGCCAGCATGCGGGAAAGATACTGGCCAATTTCTGCTCGGAACCTGGCACGCATGGTCATTCATCGCTGCGTAAAGTGCTTCCGTGCTCGACGGATGCATCACGAACAACTCATGGCGGACTTTCCAAACGAGCGAGTAACTCCCTTACTTACCTTACCAATCAGGCGAAGGCCTTGTTGTCCTCTGCTGTACGAAGAAGTCGTCTCCACTCTACTCGATCCATGGCCACAGTTCGCCAGCCTCGTAGTCTGCGAAGGGTCCGCAGGTCACCTTCTACTTGGTCGATCCACCTTGCCCGCTGCGCACCTCTTCTTCTTGTTCCTGTTGGGTCGCTTTCTAGAACCACAGAACCGCTTTCACTGGGTCGTCGTGCGGCATTCTTACGACGTGCAAAGCCCACCGTAGTCGCCCAATTTTTGCAATGTGGACGATGGATGGTTCTTCCAGCAGCTGGTGCAATTCGTGGTTCATTCGCCTCCTCCACGTTCCGTCATCCATCTGCACTCCACCGTAGATGGTACGCAATACCTTCCAATCGAAAACACCAAGGGCGCGTTGGTCCTCCACGAGCATAGTCTCGTGGCCGTAAAGGACCACCGGTCTAATCAGCGTCTTGTAGACAGTCAACTTCGTGCGGCGGCGAATTTTATTCGACCGGAGCGTCCTCCAGAGTCCAAAGTAGGCACGATTCCCTGCCATAATGCGTCTTTGAATTTCTCTGCTGGTATCATTTTCGGCGGTCACCAGTGATCCCAAATACACGAACTCATCGACCACCTCGATTTCGTCACCGTCGATCTGAACTCGGGGTGGAAGGCTAACATTGTTTTCCCAAGAACCTCTTCCTTTCATGTATTTTGTCTTTGATGCGTTGATGGCAAGTCCAATCCGTCTAGCTTCAGCCTTCAGTCTGATGTACGTTTCCGCCATCATCTCAAAGTTCCGTGCAGTTCCGTTCGAGATTCAAAGGGACTCGAGAGTGTCCCCGATACTCGAACAACGCACATCACTCGATCCATCGTCGCCTTGACCAATCGCGTCAGTTTATCCGGAAGTCCGTACTAGTGCATAATCTGCCATAGCTGATCTCGATCGATTGTGTCGTATGCGGATTTGAAATCGATGAACAAATGATGTGTGGGCACGTTGTATTCGCGGCATTTCTGCAGAACCTGCCGAATCGCGAGAATTTGGTCCGTGGTAGCGCGGGCACCCATGAATCCCGCCTGGTATTGCCCCACGAACTCTCTTGCATATGGTGACAGACGGCGGCATAGAATTTGGGAGAGTACCTTGTAGGCGGCGCTCAGCAGTGTGATCGCGCGGTAGTTGCAGCAATCAAACTTGTCGCCCTTTTTGTAGATTGGGCATACGACACCTTCCATCCACTCATCCGGTAATATCTCCTCCTCCCAAATCTTGTCAATTACCCAGTGCAGCGCTCTAGCCAGTGCTTCACCACCGTATTTTAATAGCTCACTTGGTAGTTGATCTACACCAGTTGCTTTGTTGTTCTTCAGCCGACCGATCTCCTCCTCAACTTCTTGAAGATCAGGGGCCGGTAGCCTGTCGTCTTCTGCGCGTGCTCCAAGGTCTGTTGCCGTGCCACCTTCGTTTTTTGCTGCTTCACCGTTGAGGTGCTCATAGTACTGCTTCCACCTCTCAATCACCTCACACTCTTTCGTGAGAAGGTTACCGTCCAAGTCCTTGCACATATCGGCTTGCGGCACGTAGCCTTTGCGCGTACTATTTAGCTTCCGTGTGTCGTTTACGCAGTACAGATTTTCCATCGCCTCGGGATCTCGGTCTTCCTGCTGACGCTTCTTCCTTCGGAAAACCGAGTTTTGTCTGTTCCGCGCTTGTCTGTATCGCTCCACATTCAATCTCGTGCGGTGTTGCAGCATTCTCGCCCGTGCTGCATTCTTCTCCTCTACTAACAGTTTGAATTCGCCGTCCAACCAGTCATTTCTTCGGTCCGGGATTGCAGTACCTAGTGCCGCTGCAGCAGTACTACCTATGGCTGAACGGATGTCCCTCCAGCCATCTTCAAGAGAAGCTGCGCCTAGCTGCTCTTCCGTGGGTAGTGCAACTTCCAGCTGCTGTGCGTAGTCCTGGGCAACTCCGGCGTCCCGTAGTTGCTCAATGTTGGGTCGCGGCGTTCGACTTCGACGTGTGTTATGCACCGTCGAGAGTTTTGAGCGCATGCATACTGCAATTAGGTAGTGGTCCGAATCTATGTTCGCACTGCGGTACGTGCGGACGTTGATAATGCCGGAGAAGAATTTCCCGTCGATTAGAACGTGATCAATTTGGTTTTCTGTGTGTTGGTCAGGTGATCTCCAGGTGGCTTTGTGGATATCCTTGCGGGGGAAAAAGGTACTTCGAACTACCATACCCCGGGAGGCTGCAAAGTTCACGCATCGTTGGCCGTTGTCGTTCGATACGGCATGCAGGCTGTTTGGCCCGATTGCCGGTCTATACATTGCCTCCCGTCCTACCTGAGCGTTCATATCGCCGATGACGATTTTGACGTCCCGTTGCGAATAGCTGTCGTACACCTGCTCCAGCTGCGCATAGAATGCTTCTTCCTCGTCGTCGGGTCTCCCTTCGTGTGCGCAGTGCACGTTGATGATGCTGTAGTTGAAGAAACGGCCCTTAACGGCTGCCAACCAATCACGCGTTGGCGCATCTTACCCAGCACTACAAAGCCGGTTCCCAACTCGTTGGTGGTGCAACAGCTCTGGTAGAAAGTAGCCGCTCGATGCCCGCTTTTCGATACCTTTTGTCCCGTCCAGCAAAATTCCTGCAGTGCTACGAATTCGAAGTTGCGTGGTTGAAGTTCGTCATACATAGATTAACCTATCGCAACCCGGGAAGCCGAGCGATTTGCAGTTCCATGTTCCGAGTTTCCAATCGTAGTACTTATTTCGTCGCGTAGGTCTGTGCCGATTGTTCCGATCCGTATTTTTTTTCCAGGGCGGCTTGTTGGGCCTGCCCCTGTCTCGCCGGTTGATCATCATGCACAGCTCTGTTTAGAGTCCCACGCTGGCACTAGGACGGTGATCAGCCGCTCCTAACATGGAGAACAGACGCCGTTTTGAGCCGCACCTCCATGGTGAACATACGCTCGGGTTTGGTGAAGCATTTCATCTATCACCGTACTATGGTTACCACGCCAGTGTTCGCGTCGCACCTCTTCACTTTGCTATTGCCGGACTGGCAACATTGCCCAGGCTACGCCACCCAGCTGTGTCCATGCTTCAGCTGGTAGTCTTTTGTTATCATATGACTCGAGGAGGCGTGAACTTGTGAGGACCAGGGCTAGGATTTCCGGTCCTTCCAGGTTGTCAACTCACCATTTTGTACCCCAGCGAGTAACTCCCGCTCCTCCGTTAATGAGGGTAGGACTGGATTGCTGTGGTCCGTTCAATATACAGTACCCGTATAGAAAGGGAGCACCCATCAAGTGCTTCGTCGCCGTTT